CAAACATTAATCAGAGAAATTCTTCAGATTAAACTATAATAGAAAATACATGGAGTGAATGATTTCTGGGAGCAATTGAGAGGCATGTATCTCACACAAGAGAAAATTCCATAAAGTCTTTGGAGAGGCAAGCTAGAAATCAGAGACAGGCTGCGGAACTGGCTTTCCCCTGCATATCCATCTTCTAATGTCTCTTCTATCTCTTTACGTGTCTATATCTGGAATCTGGAATTGCATGCATCTTCCCTTGAAGGAAGAACAGAGAAAATATTCTCTCCTCTCCAAAGCTCTCATGGCAACTTTGACCCTCATGCAAGGCATGCTGTATTGAATCACCATTTTTTCCACCCTTGAGAAAAGTCTTGAAACCTGGGTTACAACAGGATTGTATGTTGCTGTGAGACTGACAGACAACAACAACAATAACCCTCCTTGTGAACCAGACTATTTGTTGTTATTCAGTCATTTTAATCATGTTTGATTCCTGTGACCCCATCTGGGTTTTCTTGGCAAAGTGGTTTGCCATTTCCATTGCATTTCATTTTACAGATGAGGAAACTAAGGCAAACAGCGTTAAGTAACTTGCCCAGGATCACACAGCTAGCCTGAAGATAGATTTGAACTCAAGTCTTCCTGACTCAAGGTCCAGTGCTCTATACACTGAGCCTCCTAGCTGTCCAAACCAGATGATAAACAATACAAATATAAAAGTAAAATCTAATATATGTTTTAAGGAAAGAATGGCTTTAGGGAAATTATTGTTTCTCTGGGAGAACATGCAATTTTAGAAAATCTTTTAAGATGATTAGAACTGTGATTTAAATAAAGGAAATATAATTTTATGCTTATGTGAAACTTTTATGATGTGGTATGTGCAAAAATTCGTTATAAAATAAGGAACTATGGGAAAATCATTGATACAACATGAGAACTATATTTCTAATTTTAATTTTCTATAATCAAGCTACATAATTAATTTTACTTTATAAATATCATGCTTGTTATCTTGTCCTGAAATATCTATAATCATCCGATCTAGTGTTTCATAAATCAAGGTTTCTTTGTTTTTTGAAGCAATCTCCCATTACCTAATTGAACGTCTTACTTCGTCCTGTAGAACTGAAGGGTTTTATACTATGAATTCATTAGATGAAGTTTAGAAGTTCTTAGTAGAAAATACTAGAAACTATTCAGTTGACAATGTCTGTAAATGCAGTAAAAACACAACAGAATGTTAGGGCAGAGACCCAGATGCTAAAGAGATACCATAATCAACAACATATTTTATTAGTAGCATCCAAATACCTAGTTGGTTCAAATGCTTCCTTGTGACTTAACCTTTTTTGGAATTGACTTTCCTTACCTGTAAAATGAGCAAATTAGACTGAATGATTTCTAAAGGGCCTTTACAGCTCTAGATCTAGAACTCCTTCTATGACGTCTTATGAACTACTAGTCAGGATGGAAAATAGAGTCAAGAAATTTACAGAAGGGTCACTTGTGGAAAAAGAATTTTCATTTAACTATTGTGTTCCTGGCACTTCTTTATTGCCTCATGGCAAAGTAATTTTATTTTACTCCAAGACAAATTAGAGAGGCTTTGGACACATTTTCTAAATATTAATTACACTAGCCTCATTACAACTAATTCTATTCCCAGAGAAGGTCTCTGAAATTTAAGGAAAAGAAATTCAAAGCAGCACCTGTAACATACGGTACACACATATATCTGATTTATTACTACTTATGCTACCTACTGGGTGGAAACACCAATTATACTTCTACTTTTTAATCCATGCACCCAAACTTTTTTAAAACATACAAACAATACACTCCTCTAAGAACAAACCACTAACCTGAATCTTAGATGGTTCCAATAAACTTCTTTCATACTAGACTCAACAATATTCCCCTTGCCCAGTTGGAGGCCAAAGGTCTTTCTCCAAGTTGGTTGTTTGTTACATTTCTGCCAATCAGTGTTGCCCTCAAGCCAATACCAGCAGCTTGATTCTCAGGCATGGGAAATATAGGAATCATTTCTAATCTTGCCCCAGTAACCAGCTGCAGTCCTAAAGTAGGCTCCTTCCTTCCTTCCTTCCTTCCTTCCTTCCTTCCTTCCTTCCTTCCTTCCTTCCTTCCTTCCTTCTTCCCTCCTTCCTTCCTTCCTTCCCTCCTTCCTCCTTCCCTCCTTCCTTCCTCCTTCCTTCCTCCTTCCTTCCTCCCCCTCCTTCCCTCTTCCTTCCCTCCTTCCCTCCTTCCCTCCTTCCCTCCTCCTTCCTCCTTCCTCCTTCCTCCTTCCTCCTTCCTTCCTTTCCTCCTTCCTTCCCTTCTCCTCCTTCCTCCTTCCTCCTCCCTTCCTTCCCTCCTTCCTTCCTTCCTCCTTCCCTCCTTCCTCTCCCTTCCTCCTTCCTCCTCCTTCCTTCCTTCCTTCCCTCCTTCCTCCTCCCTCCTCCCTCCTTCCCTCCCTCCCTCCTTCCCTCCTTCCCTCCCTCCCTCCTTCCCTCCCTCCCTCCTTCCTTCCTCCTTCCTTCCTTCCTCCTTCCTTCCTTCCTTCCTTCCCTTCCTTCCTTCCTCCCCTTCCTTCCTTCCTTCTTCCTTCTTCTTCTTCCCTCCCCCTCCTTCCCTCCCTCCCTCCTTCCCTCCTTCCTTCCTTCCTCCTTCCTTCCTTCCTTCCTTCCTTCTTCCTTCCTTCCTTCCTTCCTTCCTTCCTTCCTTCCTTCCTTCCTTCCTTCCTTCCTTCCTTCCTTCCTTCCTTCCTTCTATAGGTATTCCTAAGTGGTTTGATACGTAATTTGAATGGTAATTTGGTATGTGAACTACCAATGTTGTTTACGATATTTTTTTGTGGGTGGTCTGTCTTAGAGTGTCTTCTACATATTGCTTGCTATGTGCACCACACAGAATCTTATTACTGAAAAATAACATAGCAAAATAACTTGACCAAAACAGTTCAATAGCAAAATGGAGGATTAAAACAAAGTGGAATCAGCTGTGCCAAGTTAACAGCCTTGTTCTTACTATCCTATTAAAATACTAAAACTTATTTTAAAATGTATATAGCATGTACATGAATGAAACTACCTATTTATCCCCCAGAGTTTTTATCTGCTGTAATGATTTTTCTATTTTAAAAGACAGAGCTTTGGAAGAGGCACTGACTGCTCGAGTTACATGTGTCCTGTTCTGTTTTCCAGCAATCTAGGGCCTATCTTTTAGGACTTGGGTTGGGATTCTGGCTTATTTTCCCTTATTCATATTCCCTTTCTTGGTTTAGTAACTAGACTCTTGATTCCAGGACAAAAATAATTAAAATATCAGAAATAAGCAATGATAATCTGCGGTTGCAGATCTTAGCTGAGAAATACTGAGGAGGGAATCAGTTAGAATCAAAAGGCCCCCTATGCTGCTAGCTAGCCTGTTTGTGACAGTGTGCTTTAACGGCCCATAATGATGATCTCTGGAGACACACAGACAGTGGGAAAATGAAGGCGAGCAAGACAAAGACCTGTACTATGATCTAGAAAGAGTAAGCTATAAAGCTTGAACAGAAGGAGAGATAAACTAGGAAATGAGTGGAAAAAAAAAAGAGGGGAAAGTAGCATAGACTTGCAGCAGGCTTTGACGTAACTGCTGCAGCTAACATCTCCAGCTCTCAGCACGTAGTGAACAACGTGACCACACACATCTTTCCTCCATAGCAACCCCAGTCCTCCTCTATTGCTAGCTCTTTCTTTTCTTTCCTGAGCGTATATCCATGTTCACACTGGGATTCCAGGTTTCCAGCCGCTGTCTCTTCCGCTTCATTGCCCAGTGCCAGTCAACTCATCTGCAGCTGGACGCTGCTGTGGCACTATTTGGTTAACTTGCATCCAGATGCAACGGCCTTCTTCCCCCAATCCCTTAGCAGTATTTCCCAGCTTCACCTTTGGATGACAATATTTGGCTAATACAGCCAAGGCAGGGAACTCCATATAAACTCCTGCTTTTCCCTATTCAGTAATCCACTCCCTTCCCCACCGCCCCCTCCCTCTCTTCTTCCTTGAGGAGGAGAGTCTAAAGGGAAAAGAACATTGTGTATGTGCTCAACTGTGTGTGCACATACCGTTTCAACTTGGATTTTTTTTTTTCTGCAGCCCTCTTTGAATATGATAATGGCTAGATCACAATTTTTGCTCCCGGAATTTGTTTTACTAGCAGTAGCTGTATTGTTCCTACCTGGGCTTTATTTAAGGCTACTTTGGAGAGCAGTGGCAAACAGCAACAGCAGTGGCTAAAAGGGACTGCACATCTCTTTCCCATTCCGTTTCCCTGCCTCCTCCCTCGCCATCTCCAATCCCATCCCCCCATCTTCTGTCTTACCACTCCATTCCTAGACCTCCTCCACCCGCACCACTGTGCCAGTCTGAATCGTGTAACAGGATTGGCGTTGCAATGGCAACTGATGGAACGGGTGCGGGGAAGACGGCAGAGATGGGGGCACGAGACTACAATCAAGCAGGCCGCAGCTTCTTGGTTCTCAGTAGATCGCTGCGAGTCACTTTTTAAAAACAAGACCAGAAGAGGAAGCCTATTCTCCGTTTCCGTTCAGAGCCCAATTTTTGGTATCTGCCTGCAGGCACGAGTCTTGGATTTTTCCCAACCTCTCTGCGTATTTCTTCCACCTGCCGCGGCCAGCAACAGCCTCCACCACTGCAAAGACTCAGCTCAATCCAGCTTTCCTGGAAGAACATTTCAATCGCCAACCTTTCTTTTCTATCACCGCCCTTCCTCCCTTCCCCTGCCTTCCACCATTTGTCTGCGTTTTCCCAGCCTCCTAGTGTATTTCTGTGTGTTTGGGTATGTTTGTGGAGTCTGGTGGAAGAGGAAGGGGAGGTAGGGGTGGGTTATTATAGTGTGTGTGTGTGTGTGTGTGTGTGTGTGTGTGTGTGTGTGTGTGTGTGTGTGTGTGTGTGTGTGTGTGTGTGTGTGTGTGTGTGTGTGTGTGTGTGTGCGCGCGCGCGAGCGCGCGCGTCCGCGCCCTTGTGTGTATGTGTGTGTATGCGCGCGCGCGCGCGCGCACACGCGCTAGGTTCTTGCGTTCCGCCAGCTACAGCCTGAGAAGGACGTCTGCCTTTCCCTCTTTATCTGAGCAGTTTCAGGCAGCTGGAGGCTTCTCCTCAACGGAATTGGAGAGCTCTGGGCCTGTGAAGGTTCCGTAGTGTCTTCCTGGGTTGGATATGTTCATGTTCACGTGAAGATGGATTTAATTTACAGTCTCCCGTGGATTCTGACAGTTCTCCTGGAGGGGATCTCTGGCCAAGGAGTGTATGGTGAGTAGAATCACAACCTAGCCTTATTCATTCTTTTCCGCAGTTAAGCGATCGTGACCTTGTAATTCTTAGGTTAAAGTAGCTGTTGAGACGGGAAAGAACGAAAATACATTGTATAGTGCGGCCTGTCAAGATTCTCCTATAGTGACATTTGATTTACAATTCATCTGGTTATTGGGAGGCATTTAGAGGCAGAGAGACGCGATGCAGATTGGTAAATCTGCTCTTCAGGCCTCTCAGACTGTGAGTTATGTGGAGCAGGTTCAATTGCAATTGTGCTTGTGAATAGGTTTGGACTCAATTCGACTTAGAATTTGCTTTAATAGTCATCTGGTGCTTTGTTTCGGGCCCAGTGTTTTCTGAACAGGAAAAGGAAATAAGAATATAATCCCCTTGTCTATTCCCTTCTTTCTCCGCTCCCATTTCCCCACCTTTCCCCGTTTTTTTCTTTTCCTTCGTTTTCTAGCTAAGGGAATGACAGGACAGTTGATTCTGGCTTTGCGAAAACCATTAACATAAATACTACCTTATGGGGCAGAGGGAGGGAAAAGTCAAGATTCCCAGTGGCAGGCACAATTAAGGGGCATGTTTATGTGAATGAACGGAATAAATGAATGAATGGAAAGAACGAATGAATGAATAGAAGTGAAGTCCAAGCTTCTCAGTCCGGGTCCGGGTCATTAATCCCTTCTTTTCACCTGCAAGCCCACATCTGCAGCTCCCCACTCCTTTTACTCTGGGAGGGACAGATATGTGTGTGTTTGAGAGAGAAAAATAACTTATTTATTTTGGGAGGAGGCATTTTTACTCTAATGTCAATCCAGGTTCTTTGGCAGACAGCAATGTGCACTTTTTGCTTCTAATATTTTAGCACACACACACACACACACACACACACACACCCCATTGCATTGACTCCAGCTATTCTATTTTGAATCTGGATATCCTCTGTAGGACAAGCTCCCAAAAAGAGTGTAACTTTTTGAATTCACAAGGGATGGTTGAAGGGGAAGAAGAAGCAGGGAAGTGGGTTCAAGGTTGTGTTTGCCCCTAAAACAGACTCCTGGGGGCCATATCCTGAGGAGTTGCAGCTGCATTCAGAAATCAATGAATCAGCACTAGGACTCGTGGGAACCCCCAGTTATGAGCAAGATTAGCAGCATCTTTCATTTCCTTATGAAGTGGGGTTCATATGTCATAGCTGAGGATGCCAAGTCCATTCTTGAAAGTCAGAAACCACAGATCCAGGAACTGGTGGCTGGAGGCTATGCAAAGGTTTCTTTACCCTTCAAACTTTGTCACTGTCTTTCTCATCTACAGTGGCATTGCTGGATAGTGAGCGAAATTAAGGTACCTAATAGGATTTTCAGGAACTTCAGTGCTTTGCTACCATTCACAATCTTTCCAAGGGTAAAGTTACTATCCTGTTTGCCCTATAATGGGTGGTGGTGGTGGTTAAGAACAGGCTTCCTCTATTTCCCTCCTTCTCTTTTGTGCTTTCCCCATCTGTCAGTATGAACTGAATCATCATTCAGTATGAACTGAATCACTTTTTATTCATCTCCTAGCCCACTCCATCTTTCTAGTTTCTTTGAACTTCTGGGAAGAAAACTGGACAGCAGAATTTGATAGTAGAAGTAGGAGAGTTGGGGGCAGCTATAGGTGCTTATGTGTCATCATGGGCATAGCACTAGTGACCTACTCAGATTGGCAACAATAGGTGGCTAGAAGGGGATTTCTATGGTGGTGCCCAATAGATTAGGTGCACTTTAGATTTTAGGAAGTTGAAAATGTTCCCAGGGCACTGAGGCATCCATTGTAGAGTCACAATGGAGGACATTTCTAGGCAGAGGTATTTTTTTCAGTGTTTTGAATACCTTAACTACACTAACCTTTTCTGAGTCCTCAATCTCATCCTAAATCCTGTCTTTTATACTAAACAACAACCAAAACAAAATAGTAGGTTTGTTTCCAAATGGTACGAATGAGACTGTGCCAAAGATTGAAGGTCAGTGATACATTCCTTGGCACACTTTTTCCCCCTTTCAGTTAATTTCTCCTGGGGGGAATGAGGAAGGTGGGAACCATGGAGTTGTATTATTATTTTAGGTACATCAGCATGTGCAGATCAGCAGTTTTGTGAGAGGCAGCATTTCTAGTTAACTATTTACATCTTTCACTTTAATAGTGCATATGTATGTCACTTTCTCTTTCTTATCACAGGTGTTCATTTTTAAAAGGTAGCAACATGTCATAAAGGCAGCTCCTTATAATCAAATTGAAAGATTGAAAGTCTAACCAATATCTATTATCAGATCCCATTAAAAGGACTAAAACCAGATTATATGTATAAATCAAATAATCTTTCAACCTTATTACTTTCTGTAAATTAAGACCTACCATAATTTTGTGTTCACAATATTCTATCATAAGAAGCAGCATGTATATGTACAATATCTTGGACTTGGAGTCAGGAAGATCTGGTTTCAAATTCCACCTGTAAAACTAGTTTTGTGACCATAATAGCAAAGTCACTTAAGCCCTCTGTGTGCCTTGGAGGAGGGAGTTCCTATTCCAGTGAATTCATGAGTTCTTCACATATTGACTGTTTATTCATTACAGTCATAGATTTAGAACTAGAAGTGACTTTGCTTATCATTTAGTCCATCCTCATCATTTTACAGAGGAGAAAACTAAGACACAGAGAGGTTGAGCAATTTGTCCAAGGTAAGATACATACATAATAAATTTGTGAATGAACCCAGGTTCTCTGATTCCAAATGTGGTGCTCTGTTGATACTTTGGTAATGACATGAATATTTTATTTTTACTTCATGTACTAAAATTTGATTTTTACTACATCTTTTCTTAGTTTAAAGGACATATACAGATTGATGAAATCATATAGATAATTTTGAACATTTTAATGCAATTATAATTAAAATAAGTTACATGTAAAATGCTTTGCAAACTTGAAGTGCTATACAAATGTCAATCATTATTACAACTGTTTAATTTTTAATGCAAAGCAAGGGTGAATAGGAACCTAAAAGACCCATATACCATAGGTTGTCATTGTATGAACTCTTGATTTCTGAGATCCCTTGAATTTTATCACATTGCATTTTCCCGAGTCTCTTCCTACCTCCTTTCAGTTCCTATCACATGATCGTCGATCTAGAGTCAGAAGGGACTTCAGAAGAAAACTAATCTAATCCTGTCCTTTTGCAGATGAGAAAACTAAGGGCCAAGGATATTCAGTGACTTGCCTAAGGTCATAGAGTAAGGCATAGAGGAAAGATTTGAACTCAGTTTTGCTAACTGTAAAGCCAATGTTCCTTTTCCTGTTCCCAGCTGCCTAAATCTGTATGTTCCCTAATTCCTGAGCATTCCCTAAAGGTTTATCTTTAGTCTCTTTTTTTTTTCTTCTGTAGATGTAGATGAGATCATTTATTATCTCTATGCAAATTACTTTATTTTCTCTATATCCAACCCCAATCTCATCATTCAGTCCCAAAGCAGCTTGCTGGAATCATTTACTTAATATATCTATTCAACTCATCAGATTCATTATGTCCAAAATATACTCATCTTCCTTTATAAACCTTATCGACTGTAATCACAAAAGACCATAAACTCCTTGAGAGCATGGGTACTTTGCTTTTAATGTTGTATTGCTAGTACCTAGCATAATTTCTGTAATTTAGTAGGCGATTATTAAATGCTTGTTGACTTGTTTGATGTCACCTTCTCTCAGTTCCCTATGCTAGGTAACCTAGGGTCATCCTACTTTCCATTCTTACTGCTACCACTCTAATTGAAGTCTTCATTTCCTCTCACCAAGACTATTTTAATAACTTTTCTCTGAGATTCCTGTTTTCAGTCTCTCCTTCCTCCAATCTGTCACTGCCAGATTAATCTTTTAATGTGAAAGTCATTTTTCTCCTCAAAATTTGCAAGTTTTCTTAACCAAATACAATGCAAAAGCTGCTATTCACTCCCTCCTCACCAAATTGGTTTGAAATTATTTTTTCTCTTATTTCACTTTGCTTCTCGCATTTTTGCATTTCAGTCAAACTCGGATTGTGTGATCTCATCATATTGGATATTCCCATGTTTGCCCCAGGACGATATCATCTTCCCTCTTGTGTCTCTGACAAGATGATAATTCTTCTTGTCTTGGTTCTTGGCCCTTCCATACTTCACATACCTGAGCAACAAGAAATAAGAAACAAATGAAAGAAAGCCCACATATTGGCGCAATTCAGTTCCTTGGAGAGCTGTATGTGCATATTCAGTCTTTCCTATCTCCTACTTTTGCTTCCCAAAGAATCACTTGCATCAAGGAACCAGTGCCATTTAGAGACACAGACGGAGAAGAGGAAGAGAGGTTCTCCTAAGGGAAAGGTCATGAGAAGCTCCAAACACATCCTGAGAAAGTGGACAAAAGTAACTCAGATCTAGTCTTGAGAAGAGTGACATAGTAAGACAGACTTTAGGAATATCAACTTGGCACATGCATGGAAAATGGATTGGAAAGGGGAATAGTAAATACAGAGAGATCCAACGAGAGGTTATGAAGGCATGGAGTGGGGTCGTTGTAGGATGAATTGAGAAAAAGAGACTGACTAATGAAGAGATAAAATTGGCAAGACAGAAACAAGTAAGACATTGTGGAGGTAAAGAAGACTGAAGAATCAAAGATAATTCCTAGGTTGCAAACCTGTGTGACTAAAGAATGGTGGAATCCTCAAGCAAAATAGATATGTTAGGAGGAGGGGTGTACTAATTGCAAAGTGATTGAGTTTTGTTTTGCATATGTACAGTTTGAGATGTCCATGGAACATGCAATTGGAGAAGACATGTTGGAGCTCAGGAGAGAGATTATAGTTATGTTTGAAGGGGACAAGTTAGTCTTTGAACAATTGATGTTACCCACTGCTCACTAGTTAATATAATTCCAGAAACCTCTCTTTCCAAATAGGAGTCATGACACTATT